CAGTAAAGCGCACACACCTACTAATTGAGATTTAAGTTAAAGTACCCGCTTAAAACTCACCTGAGACAGGCCTGTGATCGCGTCCCGGGCTGGGCTGGGCCCATTGGTTCAGCTCCCGCCGACCTTGATGTTAGACTGAGTCTCCGCGGTGACCACCACAGAGTTACAGGTTTTTGCAGGTACCTGTACCTACTGGGCCTACGTGCCCACACTCCACAGCCAAATCCCAGTCCACAGGTCCGGAGCTCTCCTCGCTCCTTCCTCATTGAGTTTGATTTGAGCACTCAAGACACGGTCCCAACGTGTATGCCCACGGCCGATACCAGACCAGACCAGAGCACACGTCCTGACCCTGCACTCACGCACGCACACGCTGACCTTGACCTGCAGTCTGCACAGAGCTGGGCAGTGCGCGCCGCACCGGGACGGCGGGCCGCACTTCGTGAGACTAGGGGTGGCTCCACGACACGACACATCGAGCACGGCCAACCACGATTATTATTAAAACTTGATCCTCCATCACACTGCTTGAACACTTAAAAACAATTTGAATCCCGCAGGCCAGGCCATAACACCATTCAAGTCAACCTCCCCACACAATCGGATTTTATTGGCTACGCTAGACCACTACCAGGGGGGTACGCTCCGGCTGTTTAACATTACGAAAAGTGGTGACAGACGTTTGTGGAGGATTGTCGACGAACTCTTGTTCCGCGAGCAGCACTCACGCGCTAGCGGAAAATCCACCAATCAGCGCCCGGCAGTGCTCGACGCTGATTGGCCCGACGCTCGTGACGAAATTGCGGGGAACCGCAGTTATTCTCTATGGACTCGAATAGGCTTTTGGATTTCGGAGGGGTTTCTTTAAGATTATATGCTGTTTCGAGCTGTTTTCGAGTTGAAATATATTTCTTATGACTGTTAGCTATATAATGGCACCATAAAATCATGATTTTAATTAATATTACCGATGTAATATCGGCCGAAAAGACATGCTGTCTTGGCACGGACTGCCCTGCAGCTGATGTGGGGCCTCTAGTGCCAGCGTATGGTAATAATGGGCTGACGAAGGGTTATTGGAGACTCTTAGAGACCCACCAGGATTCAGTATAGGGTCATCAGAGGCCGGGAACATCCATCAGGGGTCTGAGTAGGCCTGCCATAGGGGCATGCATGACACATCATGGAACATGGGTCAATCTAGATCCATTAGGGGCTGTTGAAGTGCCATCATTGTTCAGCGTGGGCCCGCAATCACCTCTGATGGGCATATGCCGTGCCCCGATGGACTAACGCTGGCCCCCGATAAACCATCACCAGCCCCTGATAGGTCTACAAAGCCCCCTGCTGGGTCTAAATTGGTCACTGATATGCCCTAATGGGCCACTGAGAAACCCGTACAACATCCCCTGACTGCACCTGATGGACCAATGCCGTCCCCTCATGGGCCCACCAGGCACCACGGCTCTTGAATGGCCTCTTCAAGTCCCTGAAGCGCCTTTATTGGCCTAAATGGACCCCTGATTGGCTTATGTGGTCCCTAATGGTCCTATATGGCCCCATGAGCCCTCAACGTCCCTAGACAGCCTTACATTATATGCCACCGGTCCCTGGTAGGCCTGCACTGGACCCAATAGGCCTATACCGACCCATAAAGGGCCCATGTCGAGCCCTCATGGGCCTCCGATGACCACACGCCGGCATGTGTGGCCCCATCAGCAGTGGTCCGTCTATCCCATGTACTTACGGTCTTTTTGGCCGATGTGACACCGGTAGTATATAGAAATATCATGATTAAATGTCGTTATTATATAGTCAAAGGTCACGGAAAGAATATCCAAGCTCAAAAATGGTCTCAAACCCAACAAAAACTGATACAAATCCCCTTCAAAAGTCATAAGTCAATGAAACACCATAGGGGAATAGCTGCAGTCCCCCGCAATTTCGTCACGAGCATCGGGCCAATCAGCGTTGAGTATTGCCGAACGCCGATTGGTCGATTTCCGCTAGCTTGTAAATGCTGCTTGCGGATATAGTCTTGAACAAGTGAGGGTCGCGGCAACTAAATATTGCTTGTCACCACTTTTTCTTCGGGAGCGTTCTACCTGGTTTATATAGCCTTGACCACTACCAACCACGTGCGCGCCGCATGATCACGCCCGTATCAAGGATCAGTAAATAAATATCGGTCCTAATGGCAGTTTTGGCTCAGCTGATTATTATTTTCTTCTTTTTTAGTATAGGGACAAGGGAGACCAAAAGAGGGAGACGAGCAAGGCTATGTAAAAATGTAAACCAGCACAAGCAAGGGGGACAAGCAAGGGGATAAAACTTGGTTTACATGGCCTTGGGGACAAGCATTGTAGAGTTCAGTGGACAAGCGGGAAACGATTGTGAAATAAGCCCCCCAAAACAGTGGCGGCGGAAGGTATTTTGGGATGGGGGGGCACACCTGATCCTTCCCGGAACCTAGGGTACCCCCAGATCTAGTTTTCTCACCGGTTTTAGGCCACTTATTTTTCACCCCTTGGCCTTTACAACAAAAATTAAAAAAAATAAAACATTTGCAAATAAGTGAGATATTTAGTCTCATCTGAGTCAAGAAACTACCTTTTTGGTAACCTGGAATAAACGTTTAAAGCTTCCACACATGAGCTGTCAAGTCAGGTACGGGGACCCGCAGTTGCTACTGTACAGCGACCCTGAGTAAATTGTCCCAGCACCCTCACAGGGAACAACGATAAGCCGTCAGAGGGCACGCACAGAAAACCTCAGCTGCTCTTGTGCAGGGACCGGCAGTCGATATCAATGATATCGGTTGTTACTGGACAGGACAGACGGCTAGAGTTGGGGTTCGTGTACAATAGCAACTGCGGGTCCCCGTACAGAGGGGGATTTTTTTACTTAAATAGGTATTGTCTTCCATTCAGCTTTTCTTTGAGGCCCACGGCCGCTAATATGGGGAGGACAAGCTGCCCCGACGGTTCCTGGCCCTTTGAAACTTTGTGGGGGCAGCGACCCCCACGGCCCCAGAGTTGTGGGGGCAGGCTGCCCCCATGCTGCCCCCCGGCTCACGCGCCTATGCCGGCTGGCGTCTGGCAGAGTCGCGGGGAAAGGCATGTGGCACGCTCAGACGCGCTTTCGTGACGTCCGTGCCGGGCCACTCGCGTTCCGTCCTACTCTTCCAGACTTCGGTTACCGGTAGCTCGTAGATAGCTCTGCTTGATTTCTGAGCATTATGTGTGGAGGGCGTTTGGTGGAAATAGTCCGTCACGGACTAGCTCGCCGGATAGCCCGTCATGAAAACGGCTATTATCAATCCAAATTACTCGCTATATCAACTTAATAAAAAGGTACTCAGCCAAACTGGCATATGTTCCTGACGTAGTATGGAAGTATTGTGGTACTTCGTCGTTAGGTTAGGTTAGGTTAGGTTAGGTTAGGTTAGGTTAGGTTAGGTTAGGTTAGGTTAGGTTAGGTTAGGTTAGGTTAGGTTAGGCTAGGTTAGGTTAGGTTAGGTTAGGTTAGGTTAGGTTAGGTTAGGTTAGGTTAGGCAATTTTGGGGGGGGCAAAAAGATATGTTTGCCCCCCACCCTGGAAGATGGGGGGCGCCGTGCCCCCGCTGCCCCCCCGCTTCCGCCGCCACTGCCCCAAAAAATAATTGAGAAAATAGATTTAATGAAAAAACGTCAGAAATAGAAAGTCAGATTAATATGTTCAGAAGTTTCATTAAAAATGAGCATTTATGAATAATGAATATGTTATAAGCGAGTGATTACTGCCTAGGTGTAAGGTGTAACCAAGGTTATAGACCTGTAACATTTTATGTGGTCACCGAAGGAGCACCGCAGCTGATATTGTTGATGTGGACGTGGTAACACCTAATTTTAGTGGTTAACCCTTGCACATGATATCAACATTTGGTTATTGAAAGTTGGCAGATACCTTCAGTTGATTGCTACACTCCAATTTTTCGACGCCAAAATTAAGGCAGGTACTACAGAATACAGATGTATGAGCGTGGTATCAGCGGTGTAAGGAGTGGACTACGCCGCGCGGCGCGCCGTGCAGCTAAGCAGTGTAAGCACACATGGCACACCAGCCATGAGTCAATTGACGATTGCCGTTTGCCTATGACAATGTGCCTGCCGCCCGACATCATCATACTAATGATGGATCATTCTCGCAAGTCGCAATTACGTAACCCACAACTTTGAGCAATGTGTGGCGTGTGCTATTTGTGCTAATATTAGATCGACCGTCGCTACTGCAGCCCAAAGTGAGCGGTGTCGTTAGCTCTCGTCGGCTGACAGCCGTCGCCTGACTCCCCGTCCGTTACCTCGCGGCTTACCTAACCAGGGACAGGCCACCCGGACCTCTGTATTTGTCAGGGCCGCGCCGCCTCCCGTCGGAGCCCCCGACCGCGGCTGGGACGCCCGCGCCAGCTCCGGTCCGACGGCGACCGTTACCTGCCTCTGCGGCCAGCTATGGCGCAGTGGCGACAGCCAGCCGCGCAGCACACCGGACACCCAACAGACGCCGTCAACGCGTTTGGTGCGCCTACCTTGCAACATACAAAATCCATACAGTAGTTCCCAATGAATGGTTCACATGTGGTCGGAGAAAGTCAGTGTGCGAATGGCAGGCCGCGGTGTCGGCCCAATCGGTCCAGTTCGGCGGAACTGGTTCATGGTCAGAGGTCCGTTAGTGGCGTCCGCGCGCCGTGCAGCCGAGTAGCGGGTCGGCTCCACCCGCCGCTCGATGTTGACGGCGCGGCTAAGAGATCGGCACCGGTGCCATTGTGCTGGCCGATACGTGCAGAAACGGACCCACTCCGTCGAACGCATTGACTGTTGACGGGACCCGATTCCGCCCTTGGCCGCCTCCAACGAGGCGCTGTGCTGTGGTCAGTTTCCCGGTCCCACCAAGGCGCTGTGCTATGGTCAGTTCCCGGCTTTCGTTCGTGATCAGCCCGTCCGTCCATCCACGAAAACATTTGATAATACACGTACATTTATTTTTCACCGTTACTATATAAAAATAGGTCTTCTGGTAGCTGTCCGTATGTACATCACAAACACACGCACAAATTCGGCTATTGGTCACAGGCCCGGGCCATGACTTGGCCGGGCTTTATGCCCTTGAAAATTATGAAGACGCGAATTGACTGGGCAGCCGTCGATCGCGATGTCAGACGAGGCGGCGGCGCCGGGCCGACCGGCGCCGCCGCCGCAGGCCGGCTGCGAATTCCGCCGCAGGCCACGCGCGGCCTGACTTTGGGGGACATCTTTGGCATGCTAAAATCGGGCGACGCCCGCGGTCACGATTTAGAGGCGCGAATGGGCACCGGGTGCTCTGTCATGGCACAGGTTAGGAATCCGCGCTGCTTCGTCAGTGGTCGCAAACCGGCGGGCCTCGCAGAGCCCTGAGTCGCCAGCTGATATGTACAATACACAACAACGGCACTCTTCGCACATACCACACCACCTCGCACAATAATATAGAAATAAATATACACACGCACACACGAGATGACACTCTCTCGACGACCGGGTGAGCTGCGGCGACGGCCTGGGCGCCGCCTCTAGGAACATAATAAAACGATGGGGATGAGAGCGGCGCGGCCGGCGGCCGGCGATGGTATGTACACTGAGACATGGCGGCGCGGCCGCCGGCCGGAGGCCGTTAAAGCATTGGCAGGGCGGCCCACTGGACGGCCCGATGCGAGGATGATGCACGTTTAACGTCCGCGCGACGGCGGCGTGCCGCGCTGGGCCGACGCGGGCGCCGGACCGGCGGCGCCGCTACTGAGCTAGTTCACCGTCGGCTACCGACGCACGGCCGTCAAACGCTCTCCTGGCTCGAGGTGCTCTTGTCGGAGAAGCTGAGCGAGCCGGAGAGGCGGCGCGTGGGGATGTCGGTGGGCGGCGAGCTGGACAGCTGCGCCTCCATCCACGGGTGGCGCATCACCTCCTCGAGCGAGGGCCGGTCCTGCGGCCGGATGCAGAGGCAGCGCCGGATCAGGTCGCGCACCTCGGCCGATACGCCGCCGCGGAACGCCAGCTCGGCGCGGATGATCTGGTGGTCCTCCTCGAACGGGATGTTGCCGCACACCATGTCGTAGAGCAGGATGCCCAGCGACCAGGTGGTGGCGGGAACGCCGTGGTAGCAGCGCCGCTGCACCCACTCGGGCGGAGAGTAGACGCGGGTGCCTGCAAAGGCGGAGAGGGGACGTCAAACCACTGCCCAGTTGGTGCGTACCGACATGTGCTGGCCACATGCACTGGCCCCTCCCTCCCTCCCTGTCCTACCCTAACAGGCCGGCGGTCAGCCCAGTCACCGGAGCCGACACCGCTCCCCCCCTCCCCCCAACCGTCCCGTCGGGCCGGCCAGGCTCGGTCCCACGCCGGCGCTCAGACAGCTACTGGCGAAAGAAAAACGCCGCCTTGGCACACTTAGTTTTTGCCCCGGGCGCTGCAGCGCCAATGCGGAAACCACTAGCACGAAACTCGGCCAGCTCCGTGGCCGCTGTGCGGACGCCGCTCAGCCCAACTCACCGTCAAAGTCTGTGTAGAGATCCTCCTTGAGTCGCGCGCCCGAGCCGAAGTCGATCACCTTCAGCTCGCCGGTGCGCTGGTCGACCAGAATGTTCTCGTCCTTGATGTCGCGGTGCACCACGCCGGCCGCGTGGCAGGCCATCACGGTGCGCACCACCTGCTTGAAGAAGCTGCGCGCCACGTGCTCGTCCAGGGCGCCGCGGTCCGAGATGTAGTCGAACAGGTCGATGCAGTTGTCTGGGCGCTCCAGGATCAGGATGAAGCTGTCGTGGCGCTCGTAGTAGTCGAGGCAGCGCACCACGCCGGTGACGTTCTGCACCTCCTTCAGCAGCACCAGCTCCATGGGCACGCGCTGGTAGTTGAGCTGCCGGAGAAGGAGCGCGGCGGTCAGGCACGGCGGCACACGGAGCGGACATGGCAGACGGCGGACCGTTACTCGCCGGCAATCCCAGGCGGCTTTCACCACCGGCCGGCCGACGGCCGGCCCAACAGACTCAATCCAGGCAGACTTTCCCGGACCTAGCGCGCTTCATGGCGGCGGAGAGGGAGGGACAGACACCAGAACTCGCTACTCACCGTGCCCCAGTTGGTGACGGTCCGCTTCAGCACGTGCTTGATGGCGACCGGCAGCCGGTCGCGGTTGCGGATGCCGCTGTACACTGTGCCGAAGCCGCCCTTGCCCAGCACCTTGCCGACGGTGTAGGCCGTCTGGAAAGGCACCTGGTGGCGCTGGACTTGCTCTGCAAAGGACAGAGAAGATGGTCAGTTGACGGCAGCAGCACAGCCACAAGGCTTAGGCCCTGTGCGTTAGACGGCACAACTTGGTGGCCAAGGATCTGGCGGGGTAAAAGCAAGGAAGGGATCACATCCCAAACAAAACGGAAAATGGAATGCTATAGGCATGACAAAAGAGGATTGTTACCAAAAGTCTTGGGATAGGATGAGTGAGATAAATGTTCGAGCATTGAAAGTAAAATAATATGCAAGTCCGAAATTAATAAGTATAATGGCAAACAGCTTCTCGAATGCAAGACCGAATGCTGCTGTGAGCCACTGATGCCAGATGAGCTAACAGGCAATGCCAAAAGGCACCAGGGCAAAGTTCCAATGCCGTGAGCTGAGGTCGGCTCCGGATACGCCAAGTGCCGCGGCACTGGATAGAGCAGCGCGCCGCCAGCTGCGGGCCAAGTCCACTCCACTGACCTTTGGCCTGCATGGGCATCTTGCCGCACACTCCGGTCTGCACCTCCGTGTATATGTCCCACATATCTGTCGCACTGCACCGACTCGCTGTCTGGCTATGGCTCGCTGGCTCACGTCGGGGAGCTCGCGGCTGCACGTCCGCACCGACTCGCTGCTGGCTGACGACTGGCGCTCCGGCGGCGCCGGCCGCCGTACTAGCCGCGCCGCGTGACGTCAGCCGGGAATTCTGCGAGCGGCCGCTGACTGGGCACATCCGGCGCGGCGCGGCGGCCCCCGCCAAGACGCCGCGCCACCGGCCGCCAGAGGGCCGCGCCCGGCCGGCCAGCACGCGACACCAAGGCCGTCCCCGTCCCGGCTGCCCCGCGCTTACGTAAGGCGGCCAGCCCGCCGCCGGATTCCGGGAGCTGCGGCCTCTCCGGAGACGGGAACGGGCGACCCTGAGGCGGGTCACCGGGAGGCGGCCGGCGCGGGCTCTCCCACCCCCGCGCCGGCGCCGGCGACCCAGTGCCGGCCGACGGGCCGACCTCGTTTCCCAACCGGGCCGGCGCCGCAGCCCATGACGGCGGGCGGCCCGGCCCGGCCCGGCCCGGCCCGTGCCTGACACGGCGGCCCTTCCCTTCCTGGTCTCCGGTCCGGGGCCGCGGCCCCCGCAAGGTCGGAAATTCCGAGATACGGCCGACGGAGACTTGCATAACCGTCACCCGGCGGGGCGGGCCCTTACGTAAAACGCGCTCCGAGTGCGCACCCCGTCTAGGCGCCCTGCGTCTCGGGCCGCTCCGTCATAGTTCTCCGGCTGGGAGGGCACGCTCTGGTTGGATTATATTAGCACCATCTCCAGACTTGGCTGCGAGACTATGGCTGAACTACTGGCTGAACTCAGTAGGGATATCGCCCCTGCTCCCAAGACCACATTCGCCTTTAGAAACCGTTTGCGAAAACACCCAGATCCAGCACGGCATCCCGTCCGGCTAGGCAGCATACGGCACAGACAGAACCTTTACCTACAGCGAACGCTCATAAACCCATAGGCAAGGGATTTTCGTTCAAAACAGCCTCCTGAATTATCAGAGCGACCCAGCCTGGCTAACGTCAAAATTCGGAGATTATCGCGAGGAAATAGGAATCGGTATCCTAGAGGACAAACGCTCTTTGGCAGCGAGCAAAATGCTGTTCCATGCGTTCGCAATTCGGATTGTTTACGGTAGCGCTGTGAATATCTATAGGAATCTTGGAAATAGCCAGGATAACATTCTGATTATTCTTTACCTAATTGGAAAAATAAAGTCAGGCGGTATAAAAAGAGTTGCTCCGAGGTCTGGGTACTTTCAACTATGGAAAGGGAAATGCTACTGAAACACAATTAACTACATTTTTTATTGCGGGAGGAAACGGGAGACTGGGGAGATGCCATGCATTGGGTCACAGGTGACAGAAAACGCATACCTAAGAATGTACAAACGCACAAGGTGCAAACCAGGGAAGCTCCACTTACCGGCAGGCTTATCCAGACCCATCTTCCCGCAGTTCGGTAACGGTGGCATGCTGAACGGAATCTTATACGCCTTAGAGCTCAGCATACTCGAAACGCACTAAACTGGGTCGGATGGGAGCTTCGCTCAGCAGCTCGACCACGTGCGACCGGCGCCCACCAACTTCGAACGCCAACTGTCGTTCCCGGCCGGCTGCCCCGGTCGGCCGGCGCGGCGGGCGCGCGCGCCGAGCGACCTCGCCGGCTCGGCGGGCCGGCGCTACACAGCACGTTACACACTGTCTGCGCACGATTGGTCACATTCTGCCATCCTGAGGAGCCCAGTTAGTGCGAACCCATGTCGGATTTCGAGGTTGCGAAGTTAATTGCATCAGACTTGCACCAGTTTTTCGTATATTCAAGTTGAAACTGGCACTACTTTTTTTCCCACGGGAGCGTCAGGGGAGCTCACTGAGGCTGGGTGGCCATATTCGCCTAGGCTGGGCATTAATCCGCCAAACTGGAGGGCAGACGGAAACGGGCGCCAAAATAGAGATCAGTGATGAGGTGTTTCCAGTCTGTGCATCATTGTTCGTCCATATCCGATGTCATATTGAATAATGAATTAAGAGTTCGGAAACGGGGCGAGCTTGAGCACGGTGGAATGGATATGGATGGGGTCAGGAATATGGAATGGATACGGAAAAGTATGTAGGGTAGGTACTTACCTATCATGCAGAGTACCTATATACAGTTAAATCGAGCCTCAATGTGGTCGAAACATGACTAAGTGGGCTCGAGGTCATAAAAGTCGAAAACAAACTTTATGCGAGACCAAGTGATATTACCTCAGTCCGGTAACAACTTCGAAAATAAAAAAGCGTGCCACTGGTTCGATAGGCTTGGTTTTCAAACGGCAACTCCCACCAGCTTTTGCTAGACACCATTGTTATTGACCTCGTTATTTGTCAGATTATGCATATGTAAGACCGCCTACATGTCATATCCGCATTGCATTTGCATGTGAATTATGAAATGTGCAATTGGTAGGTCATGTACCTAAGGTACGTACCTAATCGTGATGTCGGAAACAACTACAACAAGGATGTTGGTGTCACTGCCGTCTATGTACTGCACACAATAATAATCACATTTTCAACCCACTGTTCCGTGACTTCTGCATTCTCAGAAGCCTGAACATCAAAATGAAAAATCCTGCCAGATGCCTAGTTGAGAAGTGGACAGTCGATAATATGATGTGCGTCTTTTCAGTGGCTACCGTGTGCTATAAAGGGATGACTGGGTTTGTTGTGGAGATGTATAGGGGAAAGTGGGGTAAGACGGGCACCTTAAAGGGACCCTCCCACCTTCAAAAAAGTTAATGAATTGGCATGAAGGTGATGTCGCTCGGTTCAGAAAGAGCAAAAACGAATATCTACCAAATTTCATCGAAAAATATTCACCGGTTTTCAAGATATTAGACTTTTACTTTTGTTTACTTTTTGGGATCTCCGCTGTTCCTAGCGACTTTATTTGAAAGTGCGGCATTTGTTGCGCGCAAAGCAGCATATACCACCACGTGCTACAAAACGTTTTAGTCAAACATTTAACGGACGTTCGAAAGCCTGATGACGTCATCAGACTCCCGTAATGGTTAAGAGATAGGGACCACGCTGGTCCCACCCTGCAAGTAAAAGGAAGAAATTTCTTGAACACCTTAAAGCTGCGGGGGTTGCGACCAGGATAAATGGTGGTTTCTGAGCCTGGCCGCAAACTTGGCTATCTCAACTCAAAACTAATGTTAAGGTGGGAGGGTCCCTTTAACTTTGGAGCCATTTTTCGGCCGGTTAGAAACATCATAGAAACGGGAAACTGAGTGAAAACCTTTTTTTAGACATTTTACTTCCATTTGCTCGAAGATGAGACTTAGACCTGCTTCAACAAATAAACTGCAGCTACTTTTGCAAAACCTTGCAAAACCCCGTCTTACCCCACCCCAGGGGGTAAGACGGTCACCTGGGTAGGGCAAGACGGCCAGCTTCTTTCACCGACCAGCACAGTTCGCAACAAATGCCCGAGATTAGCCGCATTGATACAGTCGCTCGTTGGTCTCAAGTGCTTCGGAAATGGCAGCATATTACGAGTTTCGTGCAGAAGGCGTATGCTCGTATATATAGGCCCTAGTTCAGAAGCCATGTAGAATCGTTTTTCACATTCCTTATTCGAGAATAAACTGTGCCGAAGGAATATTGCTAACATGTCTGTGAGTATGGGAATCGAACATATTCTTATTAGAAATGCTTCTTTTTCCCTACAGCAACAACAATATTTTCACCATTACGGACCCATTGGATTCATAGTTGCCCGTCTTACCCCAAGGCCCAAACTCAATGTCAGAAGTTCAGCACGATTTTTCTCTGTGGACAATTTGATGCAGACAAAGCAAATCCGTGGTAAATGAGCACTGGTGGCATATGAGTGTACTACAAGTGATTACGAGTTTTTAATAACTGTAGTGTTGCACACTAAAGATTGCACAATACATTATGTATGTTTTCAATGAAATGAGTGTTTTAAAGAAATCAAAATAAAAGATTATCGACTGAACACAAATTAATCAGACTTCAATGGTGGTGTGTAGACGTGGGAAAGGCAATTCTGGTCTTAATTTTTCTCGCTCGTAGCGCTATTGGTTTGGTCTGCAGAAGGGGTGCCCGTCTTACCTACCCTGCGGGCCTGACCGTCTTACCCCACTTTCCCCTACGCATTCCGCGGCGATTGGTCCACAAAGTGTCGTGTTGCAGACAAAGTTGCAGACGCCTACCGTGACAGCGCGGGCCACGGCAGGCGGCCGCGTGACGCCGGATGCTGTGGCGCTGCCGTGTGCGTAAACACTTCACTCCGTGTGGAAACACATCAGTCACTCAGCCCACGCGCCGGGTACGCGGCGGCGGCTCTGACCGGTCACAGGCCGAAAACACGCCCACCCGACGGCCGGCCGCCACCCGGAACTGCCCATCACCGCGGCCCGAGCCGCCACCGCCGCCACGCAGCCAACGTCAGCCGGCCCCGAGCGCAAACGCCCCGAAAAAGTGTCAACATCGAACGCAATAAAGTACGGGGCAAGCGTACCTACTTATCTTGGTGTTAAAAAAGTAGCTCTTTAACCCTATTAGTGGCAGGCTCCTGGCTACCCCATATTAGTGGCAGGGGGGGGGGGGCTGTTTACGACCCCCCCCCCTTGATATCTCGAGATCTAACCGGCCGATTTTCAAAATTCAAACGGCATTCGATTTGGCTCAACGAGATCTACATTTCTAAAAAAAAATGTCAATAGGGGGGTAGAGGGGGGTAAAAATGGGCAAATTGCAGATACATTTTAGACTGTTTATCACGGCCAGGTTTCTGAACCAATCTTAACGCAACTTTTGCCGATCGATAGAGAATGAACCAGGAATTCACATGGATCCTAAAAATATGCATTTTCAAAAATCATAGGCGGATACAGATCATTGAGATTGGGGGTACACAAAAAGTATAGTAAATAAGGTTTTTGTTGGTACTGTTTCTAAAAAGGGTGGCAATGGTCTTGTTATGTTACAATTTTCGTATGAGAGAACGACTAAAATTGTATTGGTCATGCATAGGCGGTGTCAGGGCACCTATGTTGGGAGGTAAAAAATAACCCCCCTTTTTGGACGCCTGGATCCCCCTATTATAGCAAAAACGTGTCAAAAGAGGATGCACAATAACTTTGTATATGTTATCACATGATACCTTTCATTCACTGTTCGTAAAACTGGTGCAGCATCGTGATCTTCGCCCAAATGACTCGCTTCACGAATAGGACCCCCCAATTCCCAGTGCTCTGGAGCCGCCCCTGGTAAAGTTATGAACTTGAAATTTTCAGGGAATGTGCCCAATTTAGTTTTAGGAAAAGTCAGAAAATTTCAGCATCGTAGCTTCAGCGGTTTCGGAGATATTCCCGAAAATCCTGAGGGGTGGATAAAAACAACCCCCCCCCCCTGCCACTAATAGGGTTAAAATGTATTAAGTACTTTCGACCTTGACGATGGCCATCATCAAATATTAATAACGGTGAAGCGCCGCCGTTTTTGGTACACCTGTTTACGGATCTTTTCTGAACAT